GGGGTTGGAACGGGATGGTCTTTAAGGTCCCTTCCAACCCAAACCATTCTGGAATTCTGTGAATCAGTCCTTGTGCTTGAGGAATGTAAGGACAGCAACAACTTAACCTCTCTGAAGAAGCAGGGAGACCCCACCATAAGAACTGACCACATGTGACGGAACATGGTGTTGAAAACAAGAAGTATTCTACAAAAAGAAGTTTCCATATAGATGACATCTTGTGGGATTTTCCCCTTCCCAAAACTGACTGATGTTCTATTTCCCATGCCTGTCCAGGTCTTTCTTTTCTTGACCTTTTTTAGAATTAAATATTTATAGCTTAACAGTTTGTTAACATTTATAGTAATAAGAATTTGAAATTTTCATCTATTTTTGATGAGAATACTGTAACCTGCTCCTAGATTTAGCCCCTCTATACATCTACTCTTGAGATAATTCGGTATGCTTTGACTGACCATGACATTTTTCTAAAACATTGTCCTTGCTTAACTGGTGACATTTCAGAGCAATTGCAGTAACACAGAAGGGAAAACACAGGAAACTGGGAAGTTATGCTGGCATCTAGATGCTGGAGTTTGCCAATACAACATAGCCAGTGCAAAAGGAGATCTTGTTGACCTGCACAGAGGTTATGTACACTTCAGATATCTAAATACCTCTTTGTGCATATTGCCTTCCACAAAAAACAGAGTTAACTGGGTCAGTTTAACAATGATTTACCAAATTGCTTATCTGCTGTCAAGTGATCAGTTGGTCCTTCTGGGTATTGAATACATTCACAGAACCAGCGTTCTCCAGTTGACTCATGAAATATCTGAAAGCTGAGATCTCTGATTGCTTATAACATACAAGCCAAAAACCATAACAAAGAAAAAAGAGTGAATCCTTCAATTCACTTGATTACTTACTGCATCTGTTCTTTTTTTCCTTGCAATCAGAAGAGTTATATGAAGGAATGAATAGGATAAATGTGTTCCTAATACTTCTAAACATCCCAGAATATTTTCAGAACTCAGACATGTTATTATCATTTAATGAATGCCTCTGGCTCATGCTTTGTTCTCTTTCCTTTGTTTATGTAAAAAGAATAATTAAAAAAATCTTCCTGAAAAATCACATCCCCCTCTCTCAGTTTTTTAACTACAAATTCAAGTTTCTAATATTTTAATACCTTCTTTTATAACCTGATCTTGAAGAGTCTATGATACCTGAAAACAGAAGCGTTTTTCTAATAAATTTTAAGGTGTTCAGACTGATTTGGTCCTCTTATCTTAAAGGGATGTGGACTTCCACATCCCAGGTGGAAAGAAACCCTAAACGCACAAGCATTATATACATATATATAGTGGCTGAATCTTTCAGTCTTTGTAGAATTTGCCCTGAGCATACATGTGATGAATCTTTCTCCAAACTGCTAATCCATTTGTTAGGAACAACAAAGAACATACTCCCTCTTCTGGTTTCTCTGTAATCTCACTTGTATTAGTCAGTTAAACTTGCAAGACTGAACCATTATGAGTGCAATAGTCATGCACCAATATCCAGTTCTGCGTGTGCATTGTGTATTACATCCCTATGTAGGCAAACCTTATAGGCCTTGTGAGATAGATGCCACAGCCCAGAACGCTGGGGAGGTCCAATGCAAAAGCATTTAAACTTGACGATCTTTTAAGGTATTTGCTGTTGTTCATTTCCTTCGACTATTTAAAGCTGTCCTGAACGAAGTTCTATACCACAAGGAAGAACTGCATTTTCAAACCAAAAACTTAAGATTGAAGCATATTAACAGTTTTCATTGTAATTTCACTTTCAGCCACGTGCTGTGATACTATTGAAATACTCTATATGGATGATCTTTAATCCAATATTATACTCCAATCCCTCTATGGAAAATGCTGGACAGGATAATTGGAACTGACCCTACGGCATAGGACAGTTTGCAGCTTCAGTTTACTAAAAGCTGGGAGGAAAAAGGAACAGACAATTAAAAAAAGCCAAAAAGATACTCTTGCCTTACCAAAGGGAAACTCTGGAAGATCAATAAACCCTTGCTTTCCACAGTCAGGTGTATGGAAAGCAAGTGGTTGGGACATCAGGTGGGCTTTCAGTTTAGCAGCCTGCAAGCCTTCTTTCATCAGTTTCACAGTTTCCAGGCAAGTATCTGGATCAAAATGGCAGTTGACTCCAACAATAGAAGCACCTAGGAGGAGGAAAATAACTTGAAGTCACTTCTCCACCAGAAATGGGAGGTGAAAGTTCTTAGCCACAGCACTCCAGAGGCAGAGCAATCTGTATTTACACCAGCATTATGAAAACAAAGCAGCTGAGTTAGAGCCAGCCTCAGCTCTCCTGAGGTTGATCATTCCATTTACATCTCAGTTGCACTCCTCTTCACCTTCCTGATGATGAATCACATCTACCCTCATACAGTTGCTTTTCTTGTCAGTGCTTAATCAATGAAGAATGATTATGCGCAGCCACATAGGAACCTGCTAGCTATTTTGCTTAGCACAGGTCCTGCCTTTGTATTTCACCTCTAAAGGAAAAGAGTAGCTCAGAACAGATATAATAAACCCCTGATTAATTTCTTCCATACTTCCCCTTGTTCTGCAGAAAACACAGCCTTCAATACACAAAAAGGTTAATTTTTTCATCCTCTTATTCTGTCATTCTGGATTTGACCTGTGGTCCATACATTTCTCAGAACATGAGCAGATAATCATACGTGGCTTTGGATTCTGCTTATACTTCATAATTGTGAGCCCAGAATTTGGTGTTGACTCTGTAGCCAAATTTCAGTAGGTTTAGGATTTTGCTCTATTCAGCATCAGCTGCCTCTGGCTATTTGTACCAACGCCATCCTGATTAACAAGGATTTCATAGCTGCATTTTCACGGGTTTAGCTTTTTTTACAATACTGACAAGTAATGGACACATAACAGCCTATCTACAGGGTCAAAACTTTCATCAGATGTAATTGTGAAGCTACCTACAATCCATTTATTTCAATATTTAAGGAGTTTACTTTGTTCTATACTTTTAAAGGGCATATTAAAACCAGATTCTTACCAGCCTTTACCAGTTGGACAGCACATTGTCCAGGGGGCACACCATGCATGTCTCCTTCTGGACCAATGCACATCGTAGCTGCAACTGGCTTTCCAGATTCTTTTAGAACTTCAACTGCCCAGACAGCCTCTTCAACATGTTCAAAATACTGAAAGAAATTAAAACTGGACTAGTTTTGTTTCTTGGAGGTGAAGCACAGACACATTCATTCAGATCACAAATTCACCAGCCATACAATGACGTGGTTCTTTTCTGATTTACACCAACAGAATTCAATTGAGTTCACTGACCACACAGTTAAAAAAGGATTTTAAAAAGTCAGTAAGTAGAACTATGTAAAAAAATATTATACTGTTGTTTCAGAATAAGAATGCCCGTACAAGAGGTTAATCAAGGATTTATCCCCGAAGAACTATTTTAATCCAGAAAAGTCACTTTAGGTTGATTGCTTGCAGTGTATGGGAGGAAACAGGAACCAGTCAAGATCACATTAGCCTGTCCTCTTTGTACCAGCACAGAATTTGACCTGTCTGAGGTAGAAATTTAGATTTCAAGGTCCTATTCTAGGATGCTTGTGGATGCTGCTGTGCATTTAGAAAAATACCTGTTACTACTGGAACCAAAGCATAACAGCAAATTTTAAAGGAGGAAGCAATATGTACTTCCTAAATTAGACCAGACATCTTAAAGTTAACACTGTGCCAGTTGCAGTGTACCTCTTTTACAGATTTACCTCTGCAATTAGAAAGTCCACGTTCTTCTTCATAAAGACATCCAGTTGCTTTCGAAAGGCTGCTTTAACCTCTGCTTTATCCTTGCAGCTTAAGTATGATGGCGTTTGACTGACTCCTCCAGCCACTAAAGCATCGCCTTCATTAGCCACTTCTCTTGCAATGTCACAAGCAGCTTCATTCACTTTCTGGCACTGTATGAATATAGAATATGTCAGTTTTACCTGTTCAGACATATGCATGTAATTTCAGAGGAAAAAAAAAAAGAAGGACAAAAGGGTCAAAAGCTGTAATATCTTCTTCATAATCTTTTATATAATTTGAATGGATTTTTAAAATAATCTTGATTAGGAAGATCAGCATCTTTTAAAAATAACAAACATTAGGAAACAAATTTCTTGCCACCTCTAAGTTATCACATTATAAAATACTACAAAAACATACTACTTTAATGTTATAGAAATAGTCTGTAAAAAGCAAATATTTGGTGTGAAGCACAATTGTGAAGCACAATTTTCTTTGTCTCTTTTAAACAATGTGTTAGTTACACTAAAGTGTATGCTTTTATTCTGACATTCTGTGGGTAGAAAACAAAATAGGAAGCGTTTTCAACTGATATTTCCTTTTTCTAAAACGTATTTTAGTATTTTGAAAATTTAAGATACAATATTCATATAGAGTTAGTTAAGGCATTTTAAAAAGGTGTCATTAATTATCTGATGTTAATGTTACCAATTTAAGAATAGTAAAGGACAACTTATCACTACACATGATTAATCACCTAGACTGAAAGACACATTTCCTCTATACCTAAAAACAGCATGTGAAAAAGAGGTTAAGCTAGGAAAAAAAAAAAGCTTTTGGGAAAAGAATCCTTATTTGGGACAGATAACAAGTACTGATAAGAGCAGGCTTCTCTGTAGCCCATGGACTACTTAGAATCCACACAGGTTTCTCTCAGCTGAAGTTTTCTATGGCTGCCTCAAAAGACCCAGCTGAATTTTAAGGCTTTTGCTAACAGATTGTCTTCCATTTGCACCTGTGCTCAGGTACACATTTGGGAGCTCTGGGAGGTGGAGCCATAAACCAGTTATAGCCTGAAGGAACCTGCTTCTAAAACTGACAGCAAATCAATCTTGAAAGCTTTGTTAGAGTGCAGTCCCGACACCAGGTGGTCTCTCAGCCCTTTGTACAATTTTGCATGGCAGGAAGAGTTGCAGCATGGCTTGTTCCAGAGGCACTGTGTTTCTGGGACTACCGCTTCAGACATTGCAATGTTGCATATATTGAATGTAAAGGTATAGCATTTCAGATATATTTGGCCAAATGACATTTTGGTATGACCCCTTTGTTAAGCCTTAAGTGTTGCCCTAGTGTCCAGATTGTTCTTGTTTCTGATTTGGGGTATCTTCACAGACATGAAGATATTCCTTCCTCCCTGCCCCTTCTTGGGGAATCTTCTCTATTTTGCAGAGGTTGAAATAGACAATAGGACCAAAGGAGAAAGGATCAGAGAAAACACTCAATAGCAAGCCTTCTAGTCAAAAAGGAACTATATAGAAATGATTGCGCCAGGCCTACATCTCGTGAACATACCCAACATCCTGCAACTCTTTTGTGAAGGGGTTAAAAATACCAACGTGGTACTTCCATTGCTGTAACAGATTACCCTTACACATGACAAGTGGAATTCTATTTTCACTTCTATACCTTCTATTTTCAGTTTCAGAGCCACTGAAGGCATGGATCTAAAAAACATTCTACCCTCATTAGCCACTCATTCTCTAGGATTCTGCTTCATTTTTGCAGTTGATTTGTTTCCCTGGATGTTGAAGCATTTCTTAATTTCAACTGATTTTTCTCTCTGCATTTATTCCTCCCTATACTCTTTGTATCAAAACTCCAGTAAACTGATCTCCTCAGATGGGAAAAATACTATGTGGGCATGCTCCTTCCTCTTTTCATCCTTGCCCCATTTTGTTATTTTTTTGTCCTTCAGCCTTGTCTTTCTTGCTAATTCTCCAAATTCTGAAATTGTATCATCTTATTCTTTGGTCCCCAAACATAGCCAAAACTTAAGAGAAATTGTTACAGTACTTTTTGTCTCTACTAAACTTTTTGAAATTAATCAATTTACTTCATATCTTCACCAAAACAGAGTTTTACTCACACTTATTTTCTCAGCTACATAATTGCCTCTGTTCTCTAGTTTGTCCTCACTGGCATAAAAGGTGAATGTCTGCAGAACATTGGCCCCAGCTCTGAGAAATTCCCGGTGAAGCTGACGAACTGCAAAGAATTAAAAGAGACAAAGAAGAGATGTTTGGTACAGTTATTACTGTTGCTATCCCAAAATTAAATGTTTATTGAAGTAATGTTACTGTAAAATATGTGAGCCTGTGTTTACTGGAAAAGCCATTATGAGAAAGTAGAAGCAGTACCACAGCCTGTACAGAACTTCTCTCTTCTCTCTCTCAGAACATCAGGTAGGAAACTTACTCATTAGTTATTCTCTGCTAAGAATGTCTGGAGGTTTCTATTTAGTTTTTCAGTAGATTCAGTTTTGCATGCCACCTTGCCTATCTATCCCAATTTCTTTTTATGGAACTGCATAGTGGTTTAGGAAAGGAAAGCAGACATCTGACAAAAGAACATGCAAGCATAACATGGAATACCAGACAAAAAGATCATGAGATGAAAAAGCTACATTTTCCTGCCTTCTAGACTATGAAGAAAGCAGAAGAAAGTATCATGGCAACAAATCAAGGGACAAAACTATATTTACATGGAAGAATACAGTGTTCCATTATGTCCTCTATTTTGTGGTTTCCAGTTTTTTCACCCTACAAAACTTTAACTGAGCTTAGTTAGCCAAAACCAAAGCTCTGTTTTGCTAAATATGCTCTTAATTAAAAGATGATTGGTTGCTCCAGAAAAGTGACTCACCACACAGACTTAGTTCTCCTAGTACGTTAGTATGTAATGATTTTACTAGAGCCAACACTTCTTTTGAAGGACAGGTTGGCATTACTTTTAACAGACAAATTTCCTACATGAGGACTTCGGGAGCAAGCTCCAGAATGGTAGTTCTGCCTTCACTGATGTATGAAGTTTACTGCAATTGCCACAGCAGAAACAGAACAGGAGCTGTCAATTGTTTTTATATGTATTTCCACAGAAGAGTAATTATAATAATTTATAGAACACTACTGGTCAGGTGAAACAGAGTTAAAATGCTCAACAGCTTGCAGCAAGTACAGGAATAATTTATTCCCTACATACTCTACATAGGCCCAAGAACTCTACAGGTTGTGGTAGATGTTTGGAAAAGTGCTCCTGAAGTCCTGATTTATCATACTTCACTGCTTTCAGACAATCCATGTCATTAGGGAAACGTGCAACTGTGCCAGGAGAATAAAAGTACTCCTTTGAGCTGCAACAAACACAGCCTGCTGTGCCAGAGAATCCCAAAGAGCAGTTGGAGTGGCTAGAGGCAATCTGCAAACACACAGAGGCATGTCTGCTTTCAGTGAAGGGGCAGCGTAGTGTCCCCTTGTACAAGATTTCATTTCTAATGACAGCCGTGGGTAACCACGGTGTGATTGAAGACAAAGCTGCTCCTCACAGCAGTCACAGACCTATCCAGGAACACAGATTATAGCAGAGCTACAGTTCAAGAAGTCCCTGGAACCTGCCTGAACTACCAGCATCAAATTTCAGTCTTACAACCTTTACACAGGGTCAAAACATTCCTGGTGCAGGGAGTATTCTTCCTACAGCATTAAAATAGGCTACTGATCCCAGGTAAAAGGGCTGTCTCTGTATGTTTCTAGTGTTCTGTAGTTTGTCTGTTCTCCCCCTTGAGAAATCACTGATGAAAAGGAGTCCAGAAGTGGGAAAGGAAAAAAGAAAAGAAGCTACAAATATTTTCACAAATGCTCTATGACATTTCCATAATAAATCAGATTTGTTTATCCCCATGGTTCCTGCATTCCTAGAAGAATGCTTGGGATCTGTGTGACGAAGAAATGTCACATAGGTAGGCAAATGAAATATAATCTAACACGTATGAATAAGGAACACACAGCCATACACCCACACCCCACACACCCCCCCCCCATTCCTTGCTGCATTCTCGGAACCTCCCTCCTTTTTCCTTCTTTCCTTACAAAGGCAAGAAGGTCTAGTAGTTGTATGGTTTTACAGCAGCTGGCTCAGCCAGCTGCTCCTTCTGCTCTGTACACCTGCTTCCAACGTAACATGACCCTTGAGCATGCAGTAAAAAGCAGTTACGGAGGGGAGGCAGCACACTGCACTAAGAGAAACAAACACATTTCCAGGGAAGGGTGTATTTATAAATAGCCTACAAGGGGCTTATAAAAAAAATTGTATCTATGTTACAGACACGCAATATATTCTAGCAAATCAGTAGCCAGTCTCAGCAGGCCAGATTCTAACCTATGACTACTGATCATTTCTTTAAAGCAAATCTGTGGGTCAATTTAGCCCATTTGAGCCATCTGCAACTGTGCCTCTTTGTAAGGCATTTGCATTCCCCACGGACTGTCACTTCCCAAAAGGGGATTTAGGTCAAGGACTTTTGAGGTGCAAAATATGTAAGCAAAGGGGAAATAAAGAGCATGGGATCAGTGCTATGATTTGTAAGACAGAATGTGTAGGGGCAAACAAAGGTAGAGGAAGAGAGAAAGAGAGAGAGGTAATGGGATGCCTTTAGAGGAGAGGAGTCAGCAAATTAGGTCATCACCCTTTAAACCTTTGCCAGAGCTTTACATTTTGTAAGGCTCTCTGAGACCCTAAGTTAAGCATACTACACATATAGTGACACTCAAAGGCTGAGAAGGATTAGGGGTAAATAAACATGTAAGGTGTACAAAGCAGTGTAATAGAGCAAGCTAAAATGCCTCTCCTTCCCCTCCTCTTCCTTCTTCCCCCTGTTTAGAGGAAAAAGGTTAAATTCGGAAGGGCAAACATTTACACCAACGAATTTTTTTTTTTCCTCAGGGTATTTTGAATTGGCTTGTGGGATTAACTGCACATCATATTACTAGGGCAAGTATTTTCTTGTAAAGAAGCATACATAAACAGATAATACCATCGCTTTTGCAATATTTACACTAAGCACTATAATCTTTATGCTGGAAGTCATAGAACAAATACTCATTTTTTCTCTCTCCACTTTAAGAGCGTTACTCCATTAAATGTTTACTGCAATTCTTATGAGGTTTATCGTTACCCATTTCACAATGGAGCCAGATACATTCAATACTCTTCTTGCACTCCATTGTTTATTAAAAGCTGCTATTTTCCTGACAGAATTAATAAACAAACTATATTAATTTATAACAATTCAGAAGTCCTAGAATGGCTGGAACACACAAAAAAATAACCCACCAGATAATTAACTGCAGAATTCTTTTCCACAAGATGTTTTAAATAACCTGTATATCAGCTCAAGACAGACTGGACAAAACCATGAGAGAGAAATCACCAAATGTTATTAAATACAAAGATACCGCATCTGGTTCAAAATGTCCCTCGACTGCAAATTACTGTATGCTAGGAGAGCATTCTGGAGAGCTATCACCATTTTTCACTACTCAGATTCCTACTTAGCAGCTGCTTTTGGCCAGTGTTCAGAGCAAGAATGGGATAAGATGAGCATTCAGTCTATAGATTCTTAGGCTATTCGTAACAGTGTAATTCTACAGTGTCAAGGAACAGTTCTATTTAAAAACCTACTACAAGTTCCTATATATTTATTATTTATTCAACCATGTTTACAGTCACTGCAGGATTATAATTTCCCAGTAAAACTGACCTGCTTCTGGGTGTTCAACCGTTGCTTCAGGAGTCCACGGCCCAGCTTTTACGTATCCCCTCTTTTCAAGACCAAAGACAAATCCTCCATCTCCAATCACAATTTCTCCACCATCTAAGCGCTCTAGAATACCCTGAAGAAAGCAGGATAAGTTAACAATTACAGTTCTGCAGTTCTGTAGGCTCGTTTGGTGACATTTCCTAATTTCTGTAATTGGATTACAACCACAATTCTGGTTACTTTAAAAAGTGGATGAATGCAGACCTGTTACAGTAACAAAGGTAGTGAGTACAGGAAGAAAATCAAAAGGTGAGACTAAAATTTCCCTCTACAGCTATGTTTTCTTGATGACACACTAGCATTTCAGTAGATGAAATCTGAGGGATTAGGCAGAAGAATAAGAGCTGAGTGTGGGTTTTGTGCTGACAGGAAGGGTTTTTTAATAATTAGCCTCCAACCTTTAGTTTTATCTTTTTCAATAAATACCAAATATATTTTTGTCAATAGTTTCTCCTTCATTAATACAATTATCTCACACCATACAGCTAAGAAAGTCAAACACTTATGATGTCTCAGCACTGCCCTTTGGACAGGATGAGAATATGCCTTTCCAACAAGAAGGAACCCTGTGCCAACTATGCCAGTTCCAGTAGCAAGCATAGCAGTGTGAGGCTACAAATCCTGGCTGAGAAGGTCAGTATTTTCAGCTCAGACACAGACATGGCAGCAACACGATGGGACTTCTCTGTAGAGTGCCGCTGTGCAGATGCAAGGGCTCAGCCAAGTGTTGGCTTGCAAATCTCTGCATCACATTCATTGCACATTGTGCAACTTGCCAAAACATTGACCTGATTGGGTTTAATAAAGGGTGCAACCTTGTATCTTTAATTCAGAAGGGCCAGGGCAAAACTCAACCTGCAGTACTCCATCTCCAAAACTCAGAAATTTTCAATGACCCTACCAGTCATGCTTGTTACTAGGGCAGTACTGTTCTAAGTGTAAAAGTGGTGAGGCATTGTAAAGCTTGTGTTTGCAATAAACTAATTTGCCATTGTAACGCAATGCCTCAAATGGGGCCAGAGAAAGGCACTCAAGGGATCGCTGGTTGAGTCCCTGCTTCTTCTGCCTGCCAAGGAGTCCGTTATAAATGGAGCCTCCTTCAGAAACCTTATATGCAGAGACTAGGCGTGGGGAGGGAAAAGAAAAAAAACTCTTCAAGATAGAAGCAGCCACAGTCGTTGCTTGTTAACTGAACGTTGAGTAACAGATACATGTTGACACCATATTTAAATGCACTACAGCTAACAGATTGTTTTTGCTTTTAACAACTCACTTCTAGGATTTAACAGCAGTTTTCCTATATAGTTCTAGCTTTTTAAAACTGCATGTAAAAGTAATCTTCACTTTTGGCACACAGAAGCAACATAAGCAATGACTGAACAGACTATGGCATTAAACCTAGCACTGGGGCATCTAGTAGCTGGTGACATAACTATAAAGCATAAGTACTTAATAAAAACTTACTTGGTCAGTTTGGATTGGCTTGAAATTGAAATAACGTTTTTACAAACTTTATTATACGTCTGATATCATCTCTTCACACCATTTTTCCAGGGTAAATTACCATTGGTTCAACCAACATTAGCTAGCCTAAATCTAGCATCAACACTGTCTTGTTCTGCTCCAGAGACCCACAGCTGTGTACTCATGCCCAATGCAGATCAAGATTGTGCTGCCAGGTGATCCAGTAGTACACAGATCTAGTATTAAGTAACAAGAAATAGTATCTGTAAAAGTTAACAGAGGCTTTTATGCCATCTTTTCACTGCTTTACTTTTGCTACCACAAATGAAGTTACACCACACAGTCCAGACATCTATCCATGGAAAGAGCGCAAATATCTGTATGAAAATATTCCCTCAACCACCCTTAGCAATGTAACTGAACCATGTAAGTGAAAAGCCTGCTTGGTCTACCTATATCCTACCTTTCCATCAGTGGAGAGAAAAAAGCATCTCAAAACAACTGTGTAGATGTCAGTCAGCCCTCGAGATGCTTACCTCTGTCCATTTCCTGTAGGGGGAACGTAAGGCAGTTGCCTTGTGCTAGGTGTCTGAAGTTAGGTGCCATGAGTATATGCCAAAAAACAAAAAGCAGAAAAAATACCTCCCCACCTCCTTCTTTTATAACTGACCTACCTGAATGGCCTAGAGCTCAGACTTCTTTACATATCCTTCTGTTCTCTTACTTCAGGCTTACATGCTACACATAAAAATGAGTAAACCCAGTTTTGAGTAAGAAGTGTCTTATTAATGGCAATAGCGTCCTTCTGAACAGGAGACATTCCACTGACATTCCTAAGCAGCAGTGCAGGATAGCAGTACTAGTATATGTCATTGTTTTGATTTAGAAATTGCTCATATGTTTGCTTTAATGGCCAAAATGGGTGATGCCTGGGAATTTTTTATACTGGCTTATTTCTTTAGCTAAACGAGGGTGCAAAGGGCATGCATATATTGGAGACCCCTCGTATTACAACACTGCTGCTATTCAGTCATACAACTAAATGGAAGAGCAATTTGGGGCTTTTAAGTAGAGTTGGAAGAATTATGGAGACAGAAATCCCATCCAATGACGATTTAAGCTTAAAGTCTTTACAATTTTAATGTGTTGCAAGCACTGCTTAGTTTGCATATCAAATAGTGTTGTGCAAAATGGTTCCGAACTTTGGGGGCTCCAGTCTGTGGCCAGAGAAACCAACATTCTGTGAGCTGTTACAGCGTTAAGTTAAACTGATCTATCTCATAACGGCGCCCAAATGTCTTTAACGGCTCGACGCGGAAGAGGTGAGGCGGACTGCGGCTTGGCCTTAGCCTCACGGTATGACCTTACCTGCAGGAGCACGGAGCACCTCACCGGGAGGCCAAGGTGGGCGGCTCGCGGGGGTGCCGGCTGAGCAGCGGCAGCCAGGAGTGCCGCCGGGCC